CTGCTCACCTTTTCAAGTAAGAAGCATCTTTGAGGCACAGCTAAGAAGCAAAAGAAATCCTTTAGTTTCCGTTCTTTTTAGGAAGCAGGAGTAACTTCAGGTCATTAAACCGCTTCAGACCTCGTATGTGGTGAGCAGAACACTGAAGTCCTGCGTGTTGGCTTCCCTCTGGATCTCAGCCCGTCTTTCTTTGTCTCCTTTGTAGCACAGCAAGGTCAGAGATGGAGCAAAGCTACAATCAAGTCACAAGTCACGTTGGGTCAGGAGGGTAGAACAGAGCCAGATCATTAGATTGTAATCGTACCGTTCCAGCTCGTTTCTCCAGTTCTCCAGGACCGAGAGTGGGCTAAGCACCAAAAACGGACCTTTCTGACCCAAAGCTCCTGACATGTACACCAGCAGAGAGATGGTCTGGAGGAGAAATCATGGTTAGGATGTGGTTTAGTTTCTAAAGAGCCAGCATCCTCAGAGATGTTCTCTAGCATGCACCACTTTACAAATACGTTCAAATTAAAAGTGAATCCCTCTGTCTCTGATGTGGGTTAGCAGAAGTCTGAAGCAGCCACTAGTCTTTCATATCCAGCACCAACCAGGGTTTCAGCAATAGCCTTCCAATAAATGCTGTAGTCTCAAAGGGAGCAGACAGAAACGGTTATTGGGCTAAAATAGGCTGAATGTCAGCGAAACAAGGTGAAGAAAACTCTTGCTGTGTTCAAAAGATCCACGTAACGCAGTTGGATAAAACACAGAACAAAGGTACAACAAGGCTTTCAACTCTGTCCATATGAATTAAACATTTGTGATCACATCAGCTAAGAATCATCCCTCTTCTCAAACTCGAGTGTAAACAGATTGCTCACATTTTATCACCATAATTATGTCCAAGATTTGAGGAAAACGCTTTAAAATCTATCATTTCTCTACATATGATGACCCCACTGACATGAACATGAGCCATGAACAGTGTTCATAAGTACTTTTTTAGGGATTCACCAGTATGAAATACTGGGCTGATACAGATATCTGAAAATAATACACAGCCAATCACGTAGGTCATAGCCAATAACCAATATAGTATAGACAGAACATTATGCAAGCTGAATTTTTAAATGTCTTGTCTTCTTTCTATAAAGTGCAAACTAGATATTTTCTATACTTTATATACATATAGCACACACACACTTACACTTCTTACTGTCACTGGCTGAACAATTACACATCATCACCCGCTGAGAGAGACCAGATGGAATAACTTGGTTAATATCAGCTCAGTTTTACTTCAGACTGATACGGAAATGTTAAAAATGTCTAACATCAGCCGATACCGATATTGATACCGATATATCGTACATCCCTACTTTATTTTACAGGTTTTATTGATTTGGAATCAAGTCTCAGGGTTTATTAAATGTAATTAGAGCTAAAAGCTCTCTAAAGGCTAAAACCATTTCAGCACATGGAAACTGTTGTTATCACATCACATGAAGCCTTTGCCATAAAAGCACGTGACTGTCTGCAGGCTGACATCAGACTGGTGTGGGAGCTGCTTTAGGGTTAGATCTGCTCAAACACGTCATCCTCTCATGTCGACCACGTGATTTATCTGAATGACTATCAGCCTTCCTAACTATGTATCTTCATTAGAGTATCACCTGGTGGATCGCACTCACCTGGCAGGTTTTACCCAAACCCATCTCATCTGCTAAAATGCAGCCCTGCTGGTTGTTCTGACACTGGGCCAGCCACTGCACCCCGTCCAGCTGGTAGTCCCTCAGCCGGATCCCTGAAAGAGCACACCCGCATGCATCAGCAGAGGAAACGTACAGTGACCACCGTTTGGTGAAATAAACGCAGAAACATTAGACAGATACCACATGTGGCTGGCTATCTGCTCTTTATAAACAATGGGTTCTGCCCTGGAAGTCACATGCTTCGGAACTTTTCGACTCCGCGTGGAAGTCCTCCATACCTCTCAAACCAAACTTCTGCAGTTCGCTTTGAAAAAACGTCTTCTTCTTCTTCTTCTCGGCTACGAAGTTCTTCATTTTTAATAAAAAGTCCGACATGCTTTACAGCAACGGAACTAGAACTGCTCGGCGCAGAAAAATTAAATATTCTTTTAACACACTTCCTGGTTTGGTCACGTGACGCGGGGGGAAGCCCTGAGGTCCCGCAGGTGCGGGACCGTGTGATGTTAGTTCCTCAACAGGGCCAAAAAACCCTCACACTACAGAAGAAATAGTAATAATTCTCATTAAATTAATCAGCAAACCCAGCACCGCAAGGCTATTTTTACCATTAAATACAACTTTCACCATTTTTCGAGGAATAGGCTTCAAAATAGGCCTGGGGGTTAAAGGGTTAACGGAGTGAAAGGCGCGATGTTTGTGCGCGTGAACTCCTGCTGCAGAACGTGTTGTATGGAGATACATAAGGCGCAAAATTGTGTGTGCCTTGTAAAGGGGAACCTGTATTAACAAACGAATTCCAATCTTCTATGGGCACAAATCAGCACTTATGTATAGTCAAAGTATGATACTGAAGAGCTGCCACCCATGCAAATTAACTCTAGAGCGATAGCACATTGTAACAATACTATGTAACACAACAACCTTTTCATTTCACCAACATAATTTTAAAATTCTCACTATATATATATATACATATATATATATACATATAAATATATATATATATATATGTATATATATATATATATATATATATACATATATATATATATATATATATATATATATATATATATATATATATATAAATATATATATATGTGTGTGTGTGTGTGTGTGTGATTAATAAAATAATAAAATACTTTTATATCATTATTATTGGTCATAACTGCATGCATTTTGCACAGCGCCTGCCTTAGTGCTGCTGACTTTGTGGCCTCGTAGTGTGAGCCTGAGGAAGATGTTGCATGCAGACAATGAGAAGGAGGCTGATGTGGAGGTGGTCAGTGGTGCCTTCTGGTGAGACCAACTTTCTGCTGTGGTTTCTGCCCTGGAGGAGGTACCAAACTAATTTTTGTCTTTCACATTCCAGAAGTTGTCAGTAATATTTGTATAAAGAATTGCAATCAGCTTGCAGAACAAAAACAATATTCAGAATTAAAGCAGAAAACAGACTCAAATGTTTATTTTCAAAGCAGCCACATTTATTTATCTGTTTACACGCGTTTGCTAAGCAGCTTGTTGTGCTCTAGCAGTGGGCTCTGATAAGATTTACTACAGGATTTCCACAACGCTTGCTAAAAATAAATACAACACAGAGTGTTCCACAACTAAAAAATATACAAATGTCTGAAATCAACGTAAACTTTAAAAACACATTTTTACATTAGAAACAATTAGATAAGCTTTGTGACACCAGACAAATTCATATATTTACAAGTTTGTACAAAAGAAACACGAAAACCCGACACCTACAGTACAGTTTCAATGCTGACTTGAATGCTTCTAGTGCCATCGACTTTGCTCTGCGTTAGTCTGTGTTTGGAACAAAGGTTTAAGTCACAATAATAATAATAATAATAATAAAAGGTCTATGCCACAAACACATTGTGCATGTCTTAGCCTTTGGTAGAACCATGTGTGTCCTCCACTTCTAACCTAATGTGTGACACAGTCAGAAAACCGCTCCAGACACAGGAAGCAAACCTCACAAACATCACATGTTCAATGCAAAGTACAAAATACAAAACTGGAATGAAGGTTCGAAGCTTAACTCATGGTGATAGCTGTTCGGTGTCTTTACCTTGTATGGAGTGCCATTAAAGCCAAAATTGTGTTGGCATCAGCAGTATAACCACACTGGAAAGTATGGCTTTATAATTCTGTCAGATTTGCATAATCTCAATATAAAACAGTTAGAAAAACCTTTGATCAACAGTAGACCCAGTTTTAATCTGAAACCTCCCATGTTGCCTGTAGCCGTTCAAGCTGTTTCATAATGGTACACGTCTCTTTGCTGTTTGTCTCTGCAGCCAGTGTGTCAAACATCCCCTAAAATGCATGTCTTGTTAATAAAATATGAATAAAGTATGTCATAAAAATAGTTTCTTGTTCCAAATTTATGTTATTTAATGTCAGAAAAAAATAAATATATCTAGATTGTTTCTCGTCACACAAAATACATTTTTGTTGGGGGCGGTCATTTGGCACAAAATAGCAGCAAAATTCCAAAATCCTCAACAGATTTTTCCTCTACATTTATTATCAGAGTCGATTATCTGGAGATCTCCACGAAAACTGAAAAAAAAAGAGAAATACATATACCCCAGAACACTTCTGCCACTTCCCAGTCATGTTTCCACTATAGGAGTTCAGGGAAATGACTGGGAAGGGGAACGTTGACCAGAAGAGACCATGGCTCGGTCCTCTGAGCTGTTGTGTCTCCGTCACACACCCCCGCCCTCTCGGACGGGCTGAAGTCGATACACACGTATGTTGTGGTTCGGGTAAAATGACCCTGAAGCTTCGATAGTGGAAACACGCCTGTTATTTCCTGTTGTATAAAATAAGGCATATTTCATCCTCTGAGCACTTTCCACTCTCACCTCTGTCAACATTTCGTAAACACACCAAGTCGGCAAACCAGAAATAACCTTTTTAACCTGCAGCCTCCTTTTTATTTCACCTGCTCAAGCATCTTCATCACCTTTTCTTCCCCCTTTAGAACACCTGCTCACTCCTCATCTCCACAGATTGTCATGCTTGACTCTTCCTGCCTCCCCATCTGGTTTATTTATTGCATGATGAATCTACACGGTTGAAGCGTTTGGCTACACTTGATAAAAAGAGAAACGACAGCATGCTGCCATCTGCTGCAGCATAAAAGGACAGCAGGAGCTTTGGGAGGTTAGGGTGATGTTTTAAAGAGAAGAGGGCCAAATGATTCACTTGAACTAGAATTGCGTAGCCAATCAAAAACTACACAGTGGCAGAAATCTGGTAGCAAAGGAAGGTGGACTACGGAGGGGTTTGTGTTAAACTGTAGAGAAAAGCTCAACAGCAGAACAGAACAAGAGCATGCCGTCATGAGCTGACTGGAAGCTTTTGGATGTTCATCTTTAATAAAACACAAAAGTTGCAATAACACCATTATTGGGATTTTGTGTAGCTTATAAAGACATCTTTTTTCAGCAAAATACAGAAACATGAATTAGATTTTTGAAATTTCAAAAAAGATGCTTTTTTTAAAAATACAAATCGTACAAAATGTGAATTTAGTGGACAGATAGTTAAAAAAGCAGTTTAAAAATCCACAAACCTTCTCGTTCCCCTCCTGTCTTCTACTTAGTGAATACTACTGAGTCGATGTAAGCTTGCTGCTACGTGGAGTCCTGTGATGAGCGGTCATCGTGAGGACTCCCGTCTGAGTTCTCCGTCTCCCCCTCTGAGATGGCCTGCATGGGGGTGGAGTAGAGTCTGCTGCGGCTGCTGTAGCGGCTGCTGCTGGCAGGTGGGGGGACTCTGGAGCGCCCCTGTCTGGAAGTAGCAGGCGAGAGAAATGATTTTGGTGAGAAGCCCTCAGCATTGGCTCTGGGGTACGGGCTGGAGAGCTGGTCTTGTTCGGATTGGTGCAGCTGCAGGGGGGAGGCGTGCTCCTCTGAAGGTCTGGTTGACTCCACCAGAGGATCTCCAGGTGATTTAGGAGTGACGGGGCTCTTGAGGATCTCTGTAGCTGACATACGGAAGCTGAAGTCCGAGCGGCTTCCCTTTTTGAGCAGCAGAAGTTTGAACTCTTCATTGGAGGTGCTGGATTTCTTTACACTCCTGTAGATGGGCCCAGAGACTCGATGTTGGCCTGGCGGCGTTGCAGCAGCAGAGGGAGAGGCCAGTGGGGTTGGGGAGCTGACGCTGCTGTGGGAAGGTGTGTTACCTGGTGAAGCACCAAGATGGTTCCTTACAGCCAGTTCAGTCGAGTCCTTCCTCCCCAGCACCTTCCTCTTGGACCTGTGGACCAGAACATCTCTGTGACTCTCTGTAAACTGGTTCAGAACACAGAGTCTGAGAACCAAGCACCCACCTGTGGATCATAGCGAACAGGTCCTCAGTGGTGCGGGACTTGGTAGGAGACAGAAACACGCCGTCATCTTCTGTCTTTGACTCATCGTGCAGTCCAGACATGAAGTCGCTGGCGTCTGCGAACAAACACTGAACACCTTTAATATCAGTTTGTTCTCCACCAGCTTCTAAACATTCTTCTTAAACTCGTCCAAAAAGAATCAAAAATAATGTTTATGTCGCCAAATCAGAGAAAGGTTTGAGTCTAATTGTGACTTGACTCCGTTTAAACAATATTCTTTTCATTATACGTGTTTTTTTTCCTGGTTTTTTAAAGCAGGCCGTCAGATTCAACGTGACATTCGAATGTTGAACGGTTTAAAATCGATTGCCATTCATGTGATTTTAGGCTCAAAAAGCTTTAGAAAACTTGCTGTTTTGTTTGTAAATCATTTTTTTCTATTTAGTATCTAATCAGATCTAAAAGAAAAATGTTAAAATCTATAATCAAACATTAAAAAACACACAAAAGCTGCTGTATTCATCCATTCACACACCAACAGCCATATTGCCTTATGTGTGAGTTAATCTTGAGGTTATATAAATGATGCCATGTTTGTATTTTACTGAAGTTTCCAGGAGGAAGCATCAGAGGCTGGGACGTGTACCTTTGCTGATAGAGTCCTCCGAGTCCTCCTCCTTCCCGTCCTGCGAGGCACTTCCGGCTGAAACACCTGAGGAGTCTTTTTCCACTTTGTTGCTGCTCCCATTGCTGCTGGAGCTGTCCAGGGACGTGTCCAGCTGACTGTCAGCAGCAGGCACGTTCTCCACACTGCTGGACCTCCTGGGGGAACTGTGCAGAAGTGGAGGACAGGAACAAAGTTCTCCAGACGTCTCGGTCTGTTGCTGTAGCGAAGGCTCTGAATGTGAGCTGGGATCTCTGGAGGAGACGGATGCTGCCAGTGAAGCTGTGCATGGCTCTTCTTCATAAATGATGAGCTCCTCGAGGATGCCAGCACCTTTTGGGTGTAAACATGATTCTGACTGCAGCCCTGCAGTTGCGCCCTCTAGTGGAGGCTCTTGGTTCTGGCCGGAGCTTGTTTCAGCTGTGAGCTCTTTGCTTGACGTAAACGTTGACTCACACAACTCCTTCATGGACTCAGCATGATGATCTGAGCTATGCAGTGAAGAACTCCGGAGCACCGAAGATGTACTAGAAGGTAAATTCACATTGGGACAAAGCAGTTTGTTTCCATCGTGGTCCTTACTGACCGGTCGAAGCTGGACTGAGTGAAGCACAGAGGGAGTGATGGACAGAGTGTGGGGCAACTCTGGGTTGGGAGGTGCTGTAGGCTTTGCCGTCACATCTTCTCGTTTATGTAGGTGAGCATCTGGAGTCCGGGTCTCGTTGGCACTGTGAAGGCCACTTAAGTCCAGGTGGGATGGAGGAATCATTGGCAGTTCCAGATCTCTCTTCGAGGTTGCTCCCTCCTTGCAAGAGCGTGACTGCAGAGACCGTGATGAGAGAGACGACTTCCTCTCTGGAACTTTAGGCTTCCTCTTGCCACTCGCTGGGGACAGCGGTCCGGGGAAGAAAGTGGAGGGAAACAAGGAGGTGGGGGTTTCTGACTGACTGGAGTAGCCACTGGATGGGCTCGCCAGGCCGATCAGCTTCTCTGGAGATGTCAGCTGGAAATCACCTGCTGATGGAAGAGAGGGGGTGGCGGCTCTGGAGTCCGACTGGGAGCTCTGGGGCTCTGAGCCTTCCTGTGACTTGATGCATTCAATCACAGTGGTACCTGTTGCTGTGCTGGAGTTTGACAAAGAGCGGTAAGGATCGCTGGACTTTAAATCACTCAAGAGCCAGAGATCTGCGTAGTCTGACTGCACAACACCTTCACCCTTAAATGATTGTGCATCTTTGGAGCTTAGATCAGGTAGATCGGGTGAGCCCTCAACCCCCCAGACCCCCAGGGGCTCTCGGACTAGGGAAGAGTTTTCTGTGAGGCCTCGTGAGCCACGCAGACCCAGCTGCAGCTTCCTCTCCCTGGAGGACAGTGGCAGCTTCTGCCCATTTGGAAGTTTTGGTTCCTTCTTGTCAGGGATGCTTCCCTCACTGCATATTTTCCTTAGGGAGGAGCTCCTCTTTGGCGGGGAAGGCTTTGCTCTCGGTTTTCTTAAGGAGAGGCAGCGTCTCCCCAGGGTCAAACTGCCGCCAACATCGGACAGAGCGTAGTCAGACCCAGAGGCTGCATAGTGGTAGGTGAAGCTTCTGCTGCCTTTCAGACCACAGTCAAAGTGCATGGAGGTGTAGTAGCCCTCAGTGTCTATGGAGTAGTGTGAGATGGTGTCTGCTTTCTCTGACGGTGGCTTGTCTGAGAAGCTGCTCTCGCAGGTGGCCATGCTGGTGAAGCTGGGGCAGCCCAGGCTGCTCTCGGCCTCCCTGCCTTGATCGGGACTGAAGCTCTGAGAGTGGGGTGGTTCAGCGTGAGGGTAACCCCAGTCCCCCGCAGTGGGTGTCCCGACTCCCACTTCCTCCAAAATATCCATGGCTGTTGACGAGAAGGAGCCTGCCCGCTGGGTCCTGAGGCCTTGGTAATGGTCCGACCCGAAGCTGGTCTGCTCGTCGTTAGCGTGGATGACGGCGTTTAGGGAGAGCTCAGAGTCGCAGTGCGAGGAGCCGGTCAGAGGAGGGGAGGCTGCTGGGGGGATGGTCTCTGATGTCTGGGAGGGACAGGTGGAGCTGCTCCCACTCCAGTTCCCACTGGAAGACTGGTGGTCATCCTTATGGTCCATCTGGCCTCCCAGCGCTCCAGCAGCGGAGACCGAGTGGACGGGACTGCTGAAGGTGTCGGAGCTCGATGAGATCTCACAGCTGCCCATGTCAGTGTTCCTGGGCAGCTGTGCTCGGGTTCGCTCGATCCAGCTGCGCTCCGGACTCTCAGACAGCTGCTTGTACTGCAGACTCTCGCTCACGGCCTGGTCATCGGTACTCTCCTCTTCGTCCTTTAGAATCCTCTCCCTGCATACGGGCAGGAAGTCCTCCGTGTCGAAGGGGGACAGCTCCTCCTCATCATCGCTGTCATCATGCCCATTGTCCAACATCCGGCTGCTGTCTCGGGGTAGACTCCGTGAACGCAGGTGGGCTCCCGCTGAGGCTGCAAACATGGTGTCAGAGGTGTCAGAGAGGCAGCAGATGTTGCCCGCTGAGTGGGACACTAAAAGGGACACTCCGTGGCCTCGCTGGACCCTGATCCTCCTCCGAGACGGTGGTCCCGAGATCAGAAAGTCTTCTGTTTGACAACCCGAGTCTCTGGTGCTGAAATGTCTAGCCAGGTCCTCGCTGGAAGGAGTGACTTCCGAAGGGCGGTGAACGATCACTGTCCTCTCTCTAGAACCAGGAGAGTCATCCGAGTCTGGAGGAAACATCAGAGAAGATTCATTACCCACATGTGTGCTTTGTGAAGGGATGAACATGATCCAGAGACATTCACAAGTCAGCTCAGCTAAGTGTAGCCTCCAGGAACGGTCACCTCCAGTCTGACCAGTCTAAAGTCTTCAGATGTCTTCTAGTCTGCCTGGAACAATGGATCTGGAATCTCGGCATCACTTTTCAACAACAGCAGGATCTAATGCTGTCTACAGGTAACTGCTTCCTGCTGTTTCATAAATACGACGCCTGTAAAAACAACACGCCTCCATCTAGAAGTAAAAGTACAGATCATACTGGTGAAACTGGGCTGCTCCATCAGTCTAATCAGACATCAGACCTGTCAGAGAAACATGTTCACCAGCAAATGAAGATTATTAGAAAGACTCCGGTCACAAGTCTGTTTTAGTGATTTAAGTGTGACCCAAGTCTCTGACTGCAGTCTCCACCCCAGCATGATCTACAAAAGTAATATCTCTCTTTATTACTAATACTTTTCCTATTACTCCTTTGTCTACCTTTAAAATGACCACGCAGCACAACGGAGGCTCTCACTAGCAAACGATTTTCATATCAGCTGAATGAATAAGTAAACGTCACTGAGAATTCACAACAATGAATCCAAGAGAGCAGTAGTGAATAACTCCTTCATGGACCCCACGTCTCAGACTGATAACCTACCTAAGTCTTGCTGCACTGGTCTGGGGACGCCGGCTACCGTCCGTCGTCTCCTCAGCTTCCGTCTCCTCTGAAGCAAAGACTGAGAATGGACGAGCGAGCAGCGCACACTGACATCTCTGTCAAAGCCGAGCCCTGCAACAGAGACACGGCATGTGAGGAATCTTTGTTCACCTTCCACGCTGCCACAGAAGCAAAACACACGAGTAAATGAAACTGCTGCCTGAACTACATGAGGTACTTTCAAAAGCAGCAGCTAGAAGAGGAGGATCTGAAGTGACACAGCGCTGCAAAAGAAGCTTCAATTTAACATCAATGTCTATTCTGCACGACGAAAGAGACCCAAAACAATCCTGCTCTGATTATTTCTGCCACCTCCGAGTCGTCCTACCGCTCCCCCATCACATCACGACTGTCATGTGACGGCTGGTTGGGCCTTTCAGCTCCATAGTGATTGCAGGACTGTGCTCACAATGTGCATTTTCTTAAGCTCAACTGTCTCTGACCCAGCTAGCGCTGATGTACAGCTCTTCTGGTGAGAGCGGGGTAAATAACATCAAGCAGATCTTTTCAGCTGCTTGAACAGATCTAATTGACATTCACATCACAGCCTCTTTAACACCGCAGGCAGAGTGTCAGAGGATGAGAAGCAAAGCCAAGTGGGCATGAAGCATGACTTGCACCTTCACAGTGACTGTCAATACCCAATATAAAAATAAAGTTTCATAATGAAACGCTGAGTTTATTTATTTAATCAGGGAACTTGACATTAAATGTGCAGCTTTAATGGGAAGTCGCATACGAGGAATCCATCGTGTCTCACCTGCTCTCCAAGCTTCCTCACAACTCTAAAGGCGGACACATAAAAAACATCAACGGTGTTTAAGAAGTTTAGAACAAACAACTGCTGCTTGTGAAGGTCAGTCATGGATCCTGCCTGAACGGACTGTGAGGTGGTCTTCTAGATCAGCTTTTAGAGGAAAACAATGAAAATGCGTTCATGTTTGTGTTTTTGTTTGTGTTAGCGCCCTCAAGAGCCCAAATTAAATCTAGAGACAAAGGTCAAACAAACAAACAAACAAATAAATAAATAAGACTAAGTTATCGTGTGATTAGACCAGAACCGGTGCGAAGACCTGCAACACCTATTAGACCTTTTTTACTTTTTTGTTGAAACTTCTTTGTTGTTGTTTTTTCCCTGAATGTCACCATTAAAACATAACTTCTGTTACATAATCGGCGTCTCCTTGGTTCAGGTAAGTTTTGCTCTCAGCTCCCCGTTTACTCTGCCAGCCCACCTGCTCCACACCCATCAGTCTGCTCACCTGTCCCTGCTCAGCGAACGTCCCTCCCTGGCCAGATGCTCACACTTCCACCCGTGTTCCTGTCCAGTGGTGAGAGTGCTTAGGGGGTCCTGGTGCTCAAGTGTGGACGTTGGCCACGCCCCTTTGCCAAAGGCCCAATTTCAATACTCAAACTGCGCCCTGCGGCCTTCAGAAAAGTGCACTTGGAGAACGTGCGCAGGAGGGTTCGAGTGCGTAGTACACAAGTGTGCAGGAGGGTTCGAGTACACAAGTGTGCAGGAGGGTTCGAGTACACAAGTGTGCAGGAGGGTTTGAGTACACAAGTGTGCAGGAGGGTTCGAGTGCGTAGTACACAAGTGTGCAGGAGGGTTCGAGTGCGTAGTACACAAGTGTGCAGGAGGGTTCGAGTGCGTAGTACACAAGTGTGCAGGAGGGTTCGAGTGCGTAGTACACAAGTGTGCAGGAGGGTTCGAGTGCGTAGTACACAAGTGTGCAGGAGGGTTCGAGTGCGTAGTACACAAGTGTGCAGGAGGGTTCGAGTGCGTAGTACACAAGTGTGCAGGAGGGTTCGAGTGCGTAGTACACAAGTGTGCAGGAGGGTTCGAGTGCGTAGTACACAAGTGTGCAGGAGGGTTCGAGTGCGTAGTACACAAGTGTGCAGGAGGGTTCGAGTGCGTAGCACACAAGTGTGCAGGAGGGTTCGAGTACACAAGTGTGCAGGAGGGTTCGAGTGCGTAGTACACAAGTGTGCAGGAGGGTTCGAGTGCGTAGCACACAAGTGTGCAGGAGGGTTCGAGTGCGTAGTACACAAGTGTGCAGGAGGGTTCGAGTGCGTAGTACACAAGTGTGCAGGAGGGTTCGAGTGCGTAGCACACAAGTGTGCAGGAGGGTTCGAGTACACAAGTGCGCAGGAGGGTTCGAGTGCGTAGTACACAAGTGCGCAGGAGGGTTCGAGTGCGTAGTACACAAGTGTGCAGGAGGGTTCGAGTGCGTAGTACACAAGTGTGCAGGAGGGTTCGAGTGCGTAGTACACAAGTGTGCAGGAGGGTTCGAGTGCGTAGTACACAAGTGTGCAGGAGGGTTCGAGTGCGTAGTACACAAGTGTGCAGGAGGGTTCGAGTGCGTAGTACACAAGTGTGCAGGAGGGTTCGAGTGCGTAGTACACAAGTGTGCAGGAGGGTTCGAGTGCGTAGTACACAAGTGTGCAGGAGGGTTCGAGTGCGTAGTACACAAGTGTGCAGGAGGGTTCGAGTGCGTAGTACACAAGTGTGCAGGAGGGTTCGAGTGCGTAGCACACAAGTGTGCAGGAGGGTTCGAGTACACAAGTGTGCAGGAGGGTTCGAGTGCGTAGTACACAAGTGTGCAGGAGGGTTCGAGTGCGTAGCACACAAGTGTGCAGGAGGGTTCGAGTGCGTAGTACACAAGTGTGCAGGAGGGTTCGAGTGCGTAGTACACAAGTGTGCAGGAGGGTTCGAGTGCGTAGCACACAAGTGTGCAGGAGGGTTCGAGTACACAAGTGCGCAGGAGGGTTCGAGTGCGTAGTACACAAGTGCGCAGGAGGGTTCGAGTGCGTAGTACACAAGTGTGCAGGAGGGTTCGAGTGCGTAGTACACAAGTATGCAGGAGGGTTCGAGTACACAAGTGCGCAGGAGGGTTCGAGTGCGTAGTACACAAGTGTGCAAATAATTGCAGAATTGAGACGGGGAGCATCGAGTCATCGATCACAACGCATGCCAGGACGCTGCTCACAGTGAAACTTTCGTCAAAAACCTTTATTAACAACTTTTAAACAAACAGCCAAACAGTTATTTGAAATAAATTTTCATTTATTGCTGCTTTATCTAAAAGTTTTAGAGCATCAACTAATCATCCTAAAATGAACTAATTTCATTAGAAAATACATATTTTCAGAAAAGGAACTTGAGCCTTTTCTCCCGCAGCAATGACTTGTGGGTAATCCTTGCCCGAGGCCCGCATCGCTGCACACTTGGGTGAAGTGCAGGTTAAGGGTGCAACGGGGGCGTGGTCAACTTCCGCACTTGAGAATCGGGACACTCAGACTCCTGGCCGGGAACGCGCATTTGAAGGGCGCAAGTATTGGAACTGGGCCAACGTCTGCATTGAAGGTTATTTCCCACAATCCTTTGCTGCGTGGGAATTTTGTGAAGAAGGCGGAGCAATGGCCCAAGTGCCCTTTCTGAAAAATGTGTTTTCAAGTATAATTATCGAAATATTGAATATTTTATGATTGTGTGTGTATATCAAACAGTTTCTCTGTTGGAAAGTTGCATTACCTGTGTGTTAAAGTACTGTTAACTGATACCGATGCGGTTGTGTATTTTTGGACACCACATGTCAGTAATCCAACCACTAGTTTGGTATCGTGTCGAGCAGCAAAGTAGCACAGACAGCGATGGGTTTAAAGGATGTGGCAACATGACGCAGCGGCGCAGGTCAATGACGCAATGCTGACATGCCTTACATGCACTTCCAACCAAGCGCGCTTCATAGAGGGCCGTAAGCTGCAGTGTGTAAATAAGAGAGTTCCCCTCTGTGTGTGAACCTCTTCCTGGTTAAATCGTCTCTAACCCTGTGTTCAGCTGTTAGTTCCTGCAGGGCACTTGCCCTCATTTTTCTTTATTAAAGTACTTTTTGAGTTCATCTGCTTGCCTTCTGATTATATACCATCACCTTGGCTCCAACACCAACCAAACCTGACAGTTTCAGTCTAATATTCTGTGATTTTGTAAATAAAACTTATAATCAGCCAATCTAGAAAGAGCACAGCACAAACTTTGAACTATTTAATTTCTTGTTTGTTTTCTAGCCCTTCAGGCACACTAAGCCTTTTACTGAAGTCTTATTTAACTCAGACATAAACCGGTATACACCGCTGTGCTCATCATTAAAGTAAAGGCAGACAGGTGGTTGGCATTGTTTAGGCAGCGAATAAAAGAAAAAAGTAAACTCTACAAATATGTCCAAATTTAAAAAGAAGCAACTCTAAATTAATTCTTTTAAACTGGTTTAGCAACAGTTTTATATACGTGTGTATTTATGGGACAGACTAGTTTAGCAGCAGGTCAGTAGCGGATCCAGAAGGTTTATCCAGGAACAGATCTTATCAACTCGATTCAATTCAAGTTTATTTATAAAGCGCCAAATCACGACAAGAGTCGTCTCAAGGCCCTTCACATAATAAACATTCCAGTTCAGGTCAGTTCATTAAGCCAATCAGGAATAATGTTTCCTATATAAGGAACCCAGCAGGTTGCATCAAGTCACTGACTAGTGTCAGAGACTATACAGCAATCCTCAACTTGCTGCAAACGAATCTATATAAGAAAAAATACCCGTTTACTTCAAAATTCAGTTTCACAGCAAAAGGATCAGATCTGGGATCGGATGGTTTCAGTTTACCAGTCACATTAATAGGGATGATACATGACGTGATGACTTGGGAACTGCTTTTCATTCTCTCCTCTGGAGTGGGCAACGGCAGCGCTTTAGACCAGTTAGTCTGCTTGTCCAGGGTGGAGGGGACGTTAGGGATGGGAGACTT